TATTATATTATATTATATTATATTATATTTATACGTATAATATTATATTTTACATAATTATATAGCCTATAATATACTTTATATAAAAATATATTATAGTATATAATATCTACATAGAGACGTTATTTCCGGGTCCAATACATTGGTTTTCGTGCACGTCAGTAAGTCATTGACAAATTTGAAGCATATTTACATTACTTCTTTTATTCTAATAATTATAATTATTAAATAATTCTGTTGATTATTTATTCTATCTTTTATTCTTCTATATTTTTTCTGCCCTTTTTAAATTATTTCATTTATTCATAAAAAAACGACTAATAAAGTGTATAATCAAATCCTTATATTATAATCACATTGCACTTGAATAAAGTTAAAGATGCAATCTGCCGATTGTCCTGCATATGATGCAATCTGCCGATTGTCCTGCATATGACTGCATATAAACCTGTCTTCTTACGATGCACTTTGATGATTTTCAAGTGCTACTTAAGTTACAATGCTTTTGGGAAACAGACCGTAATATTAAGATCAGTCGTACGATCGTTTTTACGAACTTCTTAGGCTTACGAAGCTTTTGGGAAACGCAGCCCAGAACATTTTTTGATCCTCAAAACTCACCTCAGTCCGTTAAGAGAACAAACAGATGTCCAAGTTCACTTTTAGACACTAAAAACAAAAATGTGCATTTATGTGTCAGTTCTTTTTAAAGATTTCATGCTTTTATTTTTATATTTTAGAGAATTTCTGTTTGCTTAACTAGCTTTATTAGTGATATAAACTGTTACATAGTTTAAACAAGAATCTTTTTGAAACATTATAAATTACTTACATTTTCTTTAAATGACACAAACATGGTTAATGACAAAACTCTTACTTTTGGGTGGTTAAATTTTCTTGCTGTCCTCTTTCAATGTTTTCAATCTTTCAAATGTCTGTGATCCACTGGCTTGTCCTTTTCTTTCATCTTTGCGTTGAGACACTTTAAAAAATGAAGATATGAACCAATAGTTTTGTGTGGTGAGTGCATAAAACCATTGACATTTCACAAACAATTTCAGACAAGAACAGAATTTATTTTAGATGTAAAATTATTTAATACATTAGAATACAGAAATAAGTTTTTTTCTTATAAAATTCTTGAATAAGAATTTTCTGCTAAAAAATTGTTAGTTAATTAGCTTTATTAGTGATATAAAGAGTTACAGAGTTTAAACAAATTGGTAGCTTCTTGAAACATATTTAAGCTGTAATACCATAATATATTATAATGATCTATAATATTGCTAAAGCAAAGTTACATTAAAGTTTTCTTTAAATGTCAGTTCTTACTGTTGGGTGGATCAATTTCCTTGCTGCCCCGTCTCACTCTCACAAATGTCTGTGATCCACTGGCTTGTGAATCTTCCTCTCTGGACTCAATCTCTCGTTCATCTTTGTGTTCAGGCACTTAAAAGATAAAAGATATGAACCATAGTTTTCTTTTCTGTGCTTGAGTCTTGCTGTAAATGTCAAAGGTTGTGTGTCCAGTCAAACTATACAAAATTTTGTCACAAATTAATTTGGCACTTGGTAGAAGACGGTCAACATGGTCAAGTTGTGTGAGATGCCCTTATCCTCAAAAAACATCAACAAAACTAATGTGACCCAGACTAGGTACAAGTTCACAATGGTGATTAATTTGTTTTGTGTGATAAGTGCATAAAACCATTGAAATTCAAGAGGGATTTAGAGGTCCATGTTCACTATTTTAGACACTAAGAACAGAGTATTTTCTTTAGGTGCCATTTCTTTTAGATTTCTTTTAATTTATTTCAAACATTCAAATATAGAAATAGGCTTAGAGAATTTTCAGCTGAAATTGTTTAATTAGCATTATGATAAACAGTTGCACATTTTAAACAAACTGGTAGCTTTTTGAAACATATAATAATAATAATATATTACTTTAATGGTCTATAATATCACTAAAGAAAAGCTACTTACAATATAGTTTTCTTTAAATGTTAATTCTTACTGTTGGGTGGATCAATTTCCTTGCTGCTCCGTCTCACTCTCACAAATGTCTGTGATCCACTGGCTTGTGAATCTTCCTCTCTGGACTCAGTCTCTCCTTCATCTTTGTGTTCAGGCATTTAAAAAACATAAAAAATAGTAATTGCACAAATATTCAAAATAGTCTTACCCACTTACTTTGTATGTATGACATATTGCATATCACTGCACTTAAAACAGGACTGACAGTTCTTTCAGATATTCTTAAAGGGGTCATATGATGTGATTTCATTTTTTCCTTTCTCTTTGGAGTGTTACAAGCTCTTGGTGCATAAAGAAAGTCTGTAAAGTTGCAAAGACTAAAGTCTCAAATCCAAAGAGATATTCTTTATAAAAGTTCAGAGTCGCACATTCTGAGCTTGAGGGGCGGGATGTTCAGACGCACGCTAGAGGCGGTTTAGCGAATCACAACACACTGAGCCAGCTGACCAATCTCAGCCCATCGCGTATTTCTGAGGGAGGGGCTTCATAAAAACAGGAAATAATCGAGGCGTTTGTTAGAGAAGGGACAGAGAGGTGTGGAATAAAGGTAAATTATGTGAAAAATAATGCGGTTTTTAAAAAACGAAGCATGAACACATGTTAGACTGCACCCCATAAACACAATCAAGCCTAGAAAAAACCCAGTCAACCACCCCTTTAAATAGTGAGCAATCTATGTAGAAACCAGCTGCAAATTGAAACAGCTCACTGGATGACAGAGTTTCAGACTCAGCCCATAACAAACTGGCAGCGTGTTTTCCTTTCAGCTTTTCTGAGCTGGCAGACACACCAGAAACCTAACTAAATGCATAAAAAACTAAAAAAAGTGAAAATTTCATCCGATGTCCCCTTTAAATAGTATAACTGATTATGTTGAAACTCACTTACCTTCTGGTCTTTGTGCTGTCCTTGGCTGTCCTCTTGATAGCAGGGCTTGTTCAACTCCTGCTTCAGTCAGTTTCTGTTCTAGTGCTTTGCACTTCTGGCTCTCTTCTTGCAGCATTGCATCTTTTAGGTCAACTTCTGTTTTGAGGTCCCTAATTTTCTTCTGTAGATTTTGCACTGTCTTATTCATCTCTGTCAATTTTCTCTTGTATTCCATGTGAAGATGAGCCGAAACTTTTTTAAAGAACTCAAAATTATTTATAAAACATTTACTTTTTTTATTCTGTATCATTCTCTCCACTTTTACAAATAAATCTGCTACACTTTGGTTTGTGCCATTTAATATATGGTACCTCTTACCACATGCCTTAACACAATGATTAGCATTTGGCTGATTATGACGACATTCATTGATGAACAGCACCATACTGTAGTCTAAAGCCTCCTGACCAAACGCTTCTCTGATGGCATCTAAAAGGTAAAGCTCTTTATTACTTTTTTCATCAATGACTAAGAGAAAAGCATGTGGGCCAGGAAAGGCCAGTGATTCACAAAACTCCATTTCATTTTTCAATGATTTGACTGCATTTTTTAAAAACCAGAATGATTTCAAACGTTCCAACCAGTTAACTGGAGTTGTCACTACAGACACGTGATGATTGTGAACATGACCCTGTCTTAACTCGCATATTGCAGGACGGTACCTCGAACCTAACTGGCTTTCCCCTAATATGAATGCAGGAACTTTATTCATTAGATTATTATCACTTCCAAGCACTATAAATCTCATGTTTTCAACAGAGCCATTGGAATGTCCTGCTGCCTGTGTGAATGTTCCATCTGTTAATAAGGATAAAAATGAGTCAGCTCACAAATGGAAAAGCACACATAAAACTGAACATTGTAATCTTGGTGATAAATATAAATTAATACAGTCTTCCAGTTGTGCTAAAATACAACAGTTATGACACAAAACATCTATTCATCAAATCACTGCTTATTACACAGATCTCTGGAATACGTGATTTGGATTGAATACTGTGATTGAACAATTAAATATTTCTAATTAATGACTGCTGTCCTGAGCAATGCTGCATAACTGACGGTCCATTTGGGCAATTTATGTTTTCTGGATAACTAATTAGTTTGTGATCGGCTTCTTTTAAGTAATACCACAAATTATTATTATTCAATAAATACAGTGTGTGCATAATTATTAGGCACGTTGATATTCTGATCATCTTTTTTTCCAAGCACATTTGACCAATTCCAAACCACATCAGTCTTAATAACTACTATTAGTTTTGTATTTAATCATTTATAAGTGATATACAGTAGTCAACATTTGAAGTGGATCAAAAAAGTTCATCAAAGTTGTCCTAAGACAAGAACGGGTATTGTTTTGGTTTTAGGACAACTTTGATGAAAGGTTTTGATCCACTTCAAATGTTGACTACTTTATAATTGTCCATGAAGGCTGGAAGTGAAAAACTCCTTATATACAGGTGTGCAGAATTATTAGGCAGGTTTGCTTTTACAGATAAAATGAGCCAAAAAAGAGATTTAACTCAGACTGAAAAGTAAAAAATGATTAAATCCCCATGAGAAATATTCAAAACTAATGCAATACAGAAATTGCAAAGTTAAGACATAACCATTGGACAGCAAAATGCTCACTGGGTCAGAAAAAAACAGGTGAAGAAGAAAAGGCACATGTTAACTGCAAAAGAATTAAGAATTAATATGAAGAAATAGGTGTAAAACCGTCAGGAACCATTTAGTCCCCAGCGCCACCATTTTCCAGAACTGCAACCTTCCTGGAGTCTCCAGAATTACAAGGTGTCAGGTTCTCAGAGACTTTGCTTGGGTAAAAAATCCTAAAAATATATAATTTTTAGTCCATCTCCTATCCTGAAAAGTCTGTCTTGCAAGATTGACTATAAATGAGCTCCTTAAACTTACTGCCACAAGAGGATGTGGTGCTGATCCTTCAAGAGTCACTCACAACTTATCTGTCCATAATACAGATAAGACAGATACCATTATCAGTCTTAATGTATTTCACAACAATTCAGCATGCTATTCTTATTAAGTGAGGGTAATTTCTTTAGGATTTTTTACCCAAGCAAAGTCTCTGAGAACCTGACACCTTGTAATTCTGGAGACTCCAGGAAGGTTGCAGTTCTGGAAAATGGTGGTGCTGG